GGGGGATTCTAGGCAGGTACTCTACCACTGAGCCACACCCCAGCCCCACACTGGGGGATTCTAGGCAGGTACTCTACCACTGAGCCACACCCCAGTCCCTCACTGGGGGATTCTAGGCAGGTGCTCTACCACTGAGCCACACCCCAGCCCCTCACTGGGGGATTCTAGGCAGGTACTCTACCACTGAGCTACACCACAGCCCCTCACTGGGGGATTCCAGGCAGGTGCTCTACTGCTGATTTTACATCCCTACCCTGGAAAAGACTTCTGTAAATCCAAGTAACTTCCTATCTATCCTGTGACAGAGTAGAACTGTAGAGTTAGTTACACACCATTTTCCCCAATGATACTATGCAACCACAAAAGACCATTCAGTGAGATCCTAGGCAGTGCTCATCTTCAGTGACGCTGGCAATTTCCTTACTTCTGAGTGGTCTTGATTATTGCCCCCCACCTCCTTTAAGATGTCTAACACAGTACAGGCCGGCCTGGAACTCTGTGCTGACTAGTTTTATGTCAGCTTGACATAAGCTGGAGTCATCTGAGAGGAGGGAACCCCAGCTGAGAAACTGTTTCCATAAGATCAGGCTGTAGGCAAGCCTGTAGGGTATTTCTTAACTAGTGATTGACCCGAGAGGGCCGAGACCATTGTGGATAGTGGTTTTGAGTGCTATAAGAAAGCAGGCTGAGCAAGCCATGAGGAGCGAGCCAGTAAGCAGCTCCCCTCCATGGCCTCCACATCAGCTCCTGGTGATAGGTTTCTGCCGTGGGTGAGTTCCTGCCCTGACTAACGCGCGATGATGAACCATCCGTAAGAAGGAGGAATAAGTGAACTCAACTCTCTCCTCCCCAAGTTACTTCTGGTCGTGGCGTTTCATCATAGCAACAGTCACCCTAACCGAGGCCAACTTTGAACTTCTGTACTCTCCTGTCTCCACTTCCCAAATAATGGGATCCCAGGTGGTAGCCATTTTTGCAGTGCTGGGGAATGGAACCCAGGTCTTGATGCATGCTAGGCTGGCCCACAACCTTCTCCATTCTTCTTCCTAGGGGGACATAGGATCTTGTGGAGCTGGAGTTGCAGGCAATTATGGGCTGCTTGATGTGGGTGCTGGAACCCAAGGTGGGGGCCTCTGAGAGAGCAGTACGTGCTCTGAACTGCGAAGCCGTTTCTCCAGACTCGCATACACAGACAGCTTTCCCTCCACATCATTCTGCATGTTTGAAAAACCAGACATGGCTTTCTGGAATGATGCAGACATATTTTTGGCCTAAAGTGGGAATGTACTTCATGGAGTCTGGAGTTTAGAAAAGGCTTTAAATCCTCCTCTATCAGTCTAGGTTCTAGGCACATATCACGAGGTCGAAGGCATTCTCTATTCCTTTGAGGTAGGATCTCTCCCTGTACTCAAGTTTTTTGTTGTTGTTTTAAGATTTGCCTTATATTAT